TCCCGAATGTCCACGTGTTCACCCCGGAAGCCTGTGAACCCCATCCTTTTGGGTTTTTATGGAGGCTTCATTACACAGGCATGATGAAATCATTGGCCATTGGTAAACAGATTCAATCTCCCGCTCTTGCCTGTTCCTCTGGAGATCTGGGGGTGGACTGAAAGTTCCAATCCTCTAATCACATGGCTGGTTCCCCTGGAAGCAGTCCCCATCCTTAGACTACCTATGGGCTTTCCAAAAGTCACTCCCTTAACCTAACAACAGACACCTTTACAGGGACATATATCTCTCACTATAAGTCACAAAATCACAACCATAAAAGTCACTCATTTTCTTTCTTTTCTTTCTTTTGGGGGGTCCGAGCTGCACAGCTTGTGGGATCTTAGTTCCCTGACCAGGGATTGAACCCAGGCCCTCGGCAGTGAAAGCATGGAGTACTAATCACTGGACCGCCAGGGAGTTCCTAAAAGTCACCCATTTTCAATGCACAGCTTGCTGAGCTTTAGAAATTTACGCAGCTGTGCATTCAACACCACAATCAAGTTTTAGAACATTTCCATCCCCCGTAAAAGTTCTCTCATTTCCTTCTGCAGTCAAGTCCAGCTCCCACTGCAGCCCAGGCAACACTAACCAATTCTCTGTCTCTATAGCTCTGCCTTTTCTACAAGGTTCAATTAAACAAGAATCATACAACTTATAGTCTTTTATGTCTGCATATATCCATCAATCTTACATTTATCAGCAGTTCACTCCTTTTCAGTGCTAAATAGTATTCTCTTGAATGGATACACCACAATTTGTTTATCCATTCATTTGGGTTGTTTCCTCATTTTGGCTACTATGAAGAAGGCTGCTATGAACATTTACATGCAGGTCTTTGTGTGGACATGTGTCTTCATTTCTTGGGTAGATACCTAGGAGTGGAATTGTTAGGTCAGGTGGCAACTCTACATTTAACTTTTTGAGGAACCTCCTGTTTTCCAAGCAGCCACACTATTTTACATTCCCACCAGCAATGTATGAGGTTCCAGTTTCTCCACATTAATCATCTGGTATTGTACTGGTATCCCACTGTGGTTTTAACCGGCATTTCCCTAATAACAGGGTAGAGCATCTTTTCACGCCAGCTCAATTGTAAGGTAAAAATAGCAGCCACCATTTATGGAGAACCTATTATCCTCCAGGGGCTTTTCATATGAAATCTCATTCAACAGCATAACAACCCTGGGAATTAGGCAGCTTATGTACTTACAGATGGGTAAACTAAGTATGGGAGAGGTGAAGTAACTTGGCCAAGGTAACACAAGAAGCAAGCAGAAAGTTGGGTTTGAATGAGGTCAGTCGGTTTCTAACGTCTGTGCACTTTCTCCGGCAGTACATAGATGTTGCCGTTTCCTGTGCCACAATAATGCATAATCTCATGCTTTGGGATGTCTGACACATCTCTCACAAGGAGTCAGAATGAGATTTATTTTAGGCATCATTTCACTGTCTAGAAGAAAACTAAAATGACAATTGAAACCACATGGAAGAGCCCACCTCCATCTCCTTTTACGGGTTATTAGGGATTATACCTCAGCTATCTCAACTACCAATTACTGCATCTCTGAGAGCGAAATCAAAACAAAGGTGCTCAGAATGGCTGACCTGCCATGAACAACCACACACCAAGGGGGTCCAAAGCCCGTCTTAGAGGCAAACCACAAAACAACCCCTCGTGCCCTTAGAAGAGAGTTCTCAGCTACTAAAAATATTCAGAGGTGCAACTTTGGGGCACAAAACAACATGAAATGAATGCACGGGCTGCAGCCAAAAGGGTTTATGTGACAAATTTTCCAAATGCCCCAAAACATAATTCATTCAGAAACTGACAACTAGGAAATTTAATTAGAATGATCTGAAAGCAGTGATAACAGATGGAGATAGCAGTGCTACTGTTATCTGCTGGCAACAAACGAATATAATCAACCTTGGTTATGGGCTCAATTCCAACAGAAGCACTAAAGAAAGACCAGACCTTCAATACTCTCCCTAAGGGCCTAATCCAGGAAAGGCACCCCTTTCAACGGCACTGCCCAGAGCTCAAGAGCTGCAATGTGAAAAGGCCAACAGAGCAGCTCTGCAACCGCGGGGGGGCCGGGGGGCAGGGGACACGCTGCTTTAATGACCTCATGGGGAGTGAGTGAGAACGTGAGAAAGATACGTTGTTTCCAACCACATCACACAGTCCCCCCAAATGGGATAACAGATACATACTGGGCCTAAGTCTTTACCAGCAGACCCAAAACTTAACCACCAGACAGAGGAGAAAATAGCAACTTCTCAGCTTGTGTGGAGAGGAATGCCTAGAAAGATTAGTAACAGCAGCAGCTTTGAGAGCAAAAATGCCAAAGAGTAGGTAAGGATTCCCTAACTCAGGTTGTATACTGACATCCCTATTCGATTTCTATTTTGGAAGGAATGTGTGTCGGATTGTGTGATGACAGGTTTCTAAAAGTCTGGATTCTAACTGTAAAGAGGACAAGAGAGTGACAAGAGCTGAGATTTGACGTGGCTCCCCGTGGTCAGAGGCGACGTGACCTACCCCTCACCCTGGGGCAGGAACCTGCGGCCCTTTGCTTGTGCCCCGCAAGCCCCGTCCTGCAGCTTCGACTTACCAGGTGCATCCCCGTGCCGACTCCACAGCAGCCACCACTCCTCCTTCAGGTCTCAGCTTAGACGTGAAGTTCCTCCTAGATCTGAATCTAACCGGGAGGATTCTGCTGAACTGACCACCCCGGTGCCGTCTGAGCCCCATGCGTGCACCTCCTGGACTCTCGTCTCTCCAGGAAATGCACAACAAGCACGGTGCTTGGCGTTACCTGCTGTCACCACCCTTGCCCCCCCGCTAAACAGGAGGGCAGGGACACATCAGCATGACCTCACACTTGGCCCTTGCAGGCATACGGTGCATAACATAGAGTTTAAAAAGTGAAAGGAAATATGCCCTGAAACAGTCCAGGGCGCGTAGTCTGAATGACCTGCTGGCCCACATCTGACAGCGGCTACACTCAACTGATCTCATGGGGACATCACCCTCTTGACGCTCTGTTTTGGGTGCCGCCTCACCTTTTCTCCTACTGAGGAAGTGGGCTGGGGTGGCCTGGGGGAAAACATCCACAGGGAGGAGGACAGCAGAAGTCGGGTCAAAAAGGAAAGCAATTCTTTAAGTATCGTAGACAGCCATGGCTTTCCGCCCAATGCAGCACATTTCTGGAAGAATGTCGGCAATCTTTTTATAGCTCTGTCTCCTAGCTTGTCAGCTATCATTTCTAATAGCTGTCACTGAGTCCTGCTTTTTAAAATCTGCGACGGAGATTGTTTTGTATGGCTTTTTTTTTTTTTTTCCTTAAGGGAACGGGGGATGGAGAGAGAAGAGGAAGATCGTCTGGTGGTAAAAAAGCAAATGCAAGCAGATGACAAATTCCACTGGTGGACTCAGCTTCAATTCTCATGCAATTTTCTCCTGTGCAGTCCTGGCAAGGATAAGGTCCTGCAACAGTTACCTGCAGCACGTGCCGATTCTGCTCCCGGGGCGGGCAGCTGTTTGGGAAGCTGGGGCTGCCCACAGCCTCACGCTGCATCTCTGCCTCCGTCTGTCATTCAGAGCCCGATGTCCAGTATTGCCCCCAACTGGCTTTCTGCTTCTGAGTTTGCTCTGCAGTTTCCCCAAGTCTGACCTCAAGTCCCCCACGTGTCTCCACTGTGGCCCTCTTGCGGGTGTCCTGAGCACAACACATGCCAGAATGCAACGCTGTGCGGGGTTCTCTACTGAGCCAGGGACCTCTCTCCACCTGCTGCCTGGCACCTTGACCCGGTGCCTGCTGGAACCTCACACTGGCATTCCAGCAGAGAGCCTCCACCGCCTCTGGCCCCTCGGGCTCCTAGCTGGGAGCAGCAGCGCTGCCCAAGACAGCATTCCAGCCCGCCAGGGCCAGCTCCGCCTCACGCACCTGGTCAGTGAGCCTGGTCCGGAGCCGGGAGATGAAGGCCGAGCGTGTGTGAGCTTGCCCGTGGTAAAGGAGGGGATGCGGAAGACGAGGAGAGGCAGGTGGAGACCAGTGGGGACAGGAGAGCAGGGCCCCGGGCTGGGCAGGCCCAGGGCTGCTCCTGCATCCTCAACAGCCCGCATGACCTCCTGAACCCTGGGAGGCCAGGCTCGGGGCGCCGCTGGCACTGCACCTGCCTCCCTCCCTTCTCACAAGACTTTACAAGGCTCAGGTGGCTGTACAGGGCTCTGCAGAGGACAGCCCAGAGAGAAAGAGAGCAAGCACACCCACTCCTTGCTTGCGGTTCTCCGGTGGATCCCCAGTCATTGCACGTTTCTCTCTTTTCTTCTTTCCTGGAGGTCACAAAACCCTTCCTTCTGAATATAATTTGATCCTAGACAGGACTGCATACATATGGAACAAGCAAAAGTGGTGGGGCTCAGAGAGGCTGGCCTGTACCGGTTTCCCCAGAAACCCTGAAAATGCCTCACTGACAGATTAAAATCCCGACAACCAGGGAAGGTCCTGGCCACGGCCCCCAGCCCGCTAGAGCTCCAGTCTCTGCCACTCCATAGCCACCTTCCATCCCCTGCCATCTACCGCCTCTAGAGGGCAAGCTCCTGAAGGCAAGTCTAGGTCTTCTTTATCTCCACCTGCAATGCTCTTCCCATGGTTTGGGGCCCGGCTCAGTGTCGCGTGGATGAAAATTTCCTGAACTTTCAGAAAAGGAGATGTTAGTTTTCTCCTTGGGGCTCTAAATTTTACTAAAATCATTAGCACAAAAAGCTTCATTTGCATTATCTTATGTGGTCCTAAAAGTGTTGTATGAATGGGCAGGCTGCTGAGGCTGGAGGCGTGCTTAGCGTGGGGTGGGCCATCCCATGCTGTGATGGGGCGGGCGGGACCGTCCCTCTTACATCAGGGAGCACGTGGCGCCCAACCGGCAGCTGGTATGAGGCCGTCTCCAAGTGCCTGTGTGCTTTCCCCGTGAGGCCCACTCTTTCACACCCCTGCCCACCCACTGCTGGGGCGCCCTCCTCCCGCAGACCAGGCGCCTCGGGAGTTTAGGGGTCCTGTCACATCCACCCTGTGACCGCCAGTGTCTGGCCCAGGGCAGGGGTTCAGGAAACGCTTTTGTGGAAATGCTCACGTATCCTCCTCCTCTAGTGCCTGCTCAAAAGTTTTAATTTGAGGGCTTCCCTGGTGGCGCAGTGGTTGGGAGTCCGCCTGCCGATGCAGGGGACACGGGTTCGTGCCCCGGTCCGGGAGGATCCCACATGCCGCGGAGCGGCTGGGCCCGTGAGCCGTGGCCGCTGCGCCTGCGCGTCCGGAGCCTGTGCTCCGCAGCGCGAGAGGCCACAAGAGTGAGAGGCCCGCGTACCGCAAACAATAAAAAATACAAAACCAAAATGGGATTAGGGATCCCATTAGGGATCTCCTTAGGCCCACCCATAAGAAAAACTAAGGCCCAGAGAGGGGATGGCAAAATCCCATAAGAAGCCCCGCCCCCTCATGCATATTCACGAGCTAGAGCCTTCCTAACTATCCTCTCGCTTTCTAAAAAAAAAAAAAAAAAAGTTTTAATTTGATTTGACTAAACACACTGCAGTTTGGACCCCGGCCCTGCTCACTTTCCAGTTAACACCGAGGCGACCCTCAGCGCAGCGAGGACAGACAACTTGAAAGCCCAGCGTGCTGTGAGGGCTGCTGAGGGAACAAAAAGGGACAAGATCCCGGCGCGTCTCTAAAAGAAGGGCGAGAGTGATGGGAAAGCGTGTGACATGCGCAGGATTGAACAGTAAGACTGATGTGAAAACAAAACACCGCTGGTGGAGGACACCGGGCAGGGTGCTGGGGAGAGTGACGACAGGGCAGCAGTTCTGACGACTGTTGGGGCAGGGCGTCAGCAGCAGGAAAGGCACGCTTCCCCCCAACCCCCGTCCCGGATCAATGCAGGCACACCGCGCTGCACCCCGCAAGACGGGAAATGCACTAACTCGCCAGAACTTTCACAGAAAGTGAACAGAATAGATCGTACAGTGTGAAATCCATAGCCCTTGCAGCAGAACTGCGGACAGAGGCAGGAGAACTGGCGGCAGAACTGGATTTAGAGTTGTGTCTAAGAAGTTTGGAGGGTTTAATAGAAACTCCAAGTAGTCAGAAACTTGTGGAGGGAGGGGACTGGCCATTTTCTGACAGCCGACCGAATGTCGATGGTGAGTCAAAGACCTTTCCACCTAACCCTGTGTAATTCCCTAACTGGGAAGGGCTGTCAGGACCCTCTTCCAGAGCCAGCTGGACCTGCGGGGAGAAAGGCTGCTCCCCCATAGTCAATCTGTGTGCCCTGAGCACCCATAGTGCTCAGCAAAGCCATGAAAGACGAGCCACGCACCTCTTTCAAGCCTCTCTAAGGTGAGGCAGCTAGCTCAGCTGGCACTTTCGCTCGCACATCATTCCTGAGGATGCTTTCACTATGAGAAAATCGAGGGACTTCCCTAGTGGTCCAGTGGCTAAGACTTCGCAATCCCAATGCAGCGGGCCTGGGTTCGATCCCTGGTCAGGGAATTAGATCCCACATGCTGCAACTAAGAGTTAGTTAGCATGCCACAACTAAAGATCCCACATGTGGGAACGAAGTGCCCGCGTGCCGCAAATAAGACCCGGTACAGCCAAATAAATAAATATTTAAAAAGAAAGAGAATCGACATAAACCAAACCCAGCAAGGAGCAGCGATCAGGCCATCCGCTTTTGAGCAAGTAGAGGCATATACTGTATGTCAGACAAAGTAACCTTACGTTCGAGTTTTGGGGAAGATAAGGTACAACATCCGAACAACACTCTTCTTTCTGAGAAGAGATGCCCAAACTTTGCGCCACGCTTCAGCAAACTCAGCCATCCGCCCTACGACCACCTGAATGCATAAGGATATCCTGTGTTCAGTAGCATCACGCTGGGTGCCAGGAAAGACACGGAGCAAAGAAGCACAGTCAGTGGCTGGCCCACAGTTACCTGCCATCGACAGGCCACACGAACGAAACCAATTACAGATCGACCATAAATAAAACGCTGACTCCGCTCATATCCTCATCCATTAAATGCAGATAAAAACATCTCCCACACTGAGGGAGATGAGCTAATATGTGTAAAAGCATGAAAATGGGACTGCCACCCTTTCCCTGGCCATCAAGAAACAACCAACCTTCCTGTATCTTCCAGGCCTTCCCACTCCAACTGCTCCAAACCATTTACTGAAACTCCAACTCCCAAACTATCCACAAAAGTTCATCCTCCCAAAACCCACTTAGTAAGTGCTAGTAAGTGCTGACTGCCACGCCAGGTACTGGGGGGGCGGGGGGGGCAGGGGTTAGATGGACCAGGGCCATCTCCTGTCTACACCTTCGTTTCTTTTGCTAGCTCTTCACAAGCCAACGAGGAGGTCGAGAGCTCTGCTTGGAAAACTGCAGGTCCGAGCAGGGAGGCTCGCACAGCCAGACGCAATCGCCCAACCCCTGTCCAGCTCAGTCAGGCCAAGCTACCCCCTGCCACATCCCCACATGCCCGGACCCTGGGCTTCAAGACACCTGTCCTCACCAGCTGACATGGCAGAGAACTTTTACCGCTGATCCACTCTGCGGACTATATCTCCATCGAACTGTGAAAGTGCTTCTAGACCAGGAACCGTTGCGAAGTCTATTCCTGTAGACCAGAAAGAGTAGGTGCTGATCACCCATTCTGCCCCCATGCTCTCCGCACTCGGGACAGCTGCCTGTGTCCTGCTTGGGCCTGTATTCTCTAACCAAGCTACCTCCTCCAGTCCGTCTGCAAATCCAGGCAAAGATTTAGCCAAGGGTCCTTGCAGCCTCCAAAGTATTACAAAGACGCAAAGTGTAAGTTCAGCACCCCAAAACAGACAATATGTTTGGGTCCTTTTCTAACTTAATGCTCCAGTATCTTCTCAAAAACAAAATCTGAATACAAGTGTCTCCTACCAGGCTGCATCCAAACCATATACAACAAATCAGCCTACAATCCAAAGCCTCATGATTCCACGGCCCAGCTGGGAATCACTGTAAACCAGGACCTTTCATGGTTTAAGGGAAACATAACAATCCATTAATGTGAACTTGCACAAGAGCAAAAGATAGACACTTGCCCAAGAGTTTCGTGGGGCACTGTAACAACAGAAAGCTAGAAACTACCTAAATGTCCACGAAAAGAGAGCAGATGAAGAGAGTCATGATCATTCATATAAAGGAACACTCTGCAGTTCTAAGGGGAATGCAGTAGGTCGGTACATGCCAACATGGAAATAGTTCCAAGCAATATCTCTTATGAAAAAAGGAGAAACAAGATGCAGAACACTGTGTATAATATGATCCCATCTGTGTACTTTTAACAAGGTATCTAGTATATACATTTTTTAAAAATTCAGAGGGCAGCAAAAGAAACTTAACAGTAGCTACCTCTGCAGAGAGTCTAGAGTTGGGGAGGAATTGGGGAGGGAGAGAGGCCCTCGCGTTCTGTTTCATACCCGTTTTTAACCATATAAGTGCATTCATTTTGTTTTAAAAAAACCATCAAATCAGTTATCTAT